GATGTAATTGACCAACAACCGAACGAATTCGGGCACGAATGGAGCAAGTAGAGGTTGGAAATCAACCAATTCCAGAGGACAACGAAATATTCGTTTTCGTGCTTCGGTCACGTGCGGTCTCCCCGTATGCGTACTAGTTCTGAGGTCAGAAAACCCTTCCGACTCTCGCCGTCGGCTGTCTTCCAGCATTTCGGCTGCTGTGAGGTAAATCACATAAGTCCTACTTGTACCCTTTTTGAACGACTCGACTGCCCGAGGAGCCGGGTCAAGTTTGCTTGGTTTTTTAGGTCTACTGTCCATCAACAGTTTGCTTGGAGGCAGCGTCTTCTTCCTCCGTTTTGGACGTGTCACCAGAGATGATAGTCTATCCATCCCATAATAGGATGGCACGAACCTTGAGTCTTGAGACGGCAAACATTGATCGGTTAAATTCAAGCATTTAAGGTACGCAGCAATTTCATCACGGTCTTTGAATATTTGCGAAGTTTGTCTTTCTTGGCTCATCTTGTCTAGAATATCCTCTTTGTTTTCAGCATCAACTGCGCACGTGGCCACTCGGTTGATTATTGATTGAGTAGCATTTGAATGATCGGCTAACATTTGACCCCATATCGATGAACCGGGTGAGATACCGACTAATTCATCATCATCATCGACGGCATGACATCAGTGTTCAACACCAAATCTTCACTGCCGTATAACCATGATTCACTTGGTAGCCTTATCGTGAAGAAAAGAATAAAGGTGGACGGGGAAGGGTCTTGTTGCTAGCTTACTACAATCATTTCGAGGTACCTACAGCTCTACACGTTCATTCAGGCAATCTGGATAGAAACTGATAACAAGAACGCCACTGACATCGGTTAGCGGCCATTTCTTGTAGTGTCTCCAACCAGGCGCAGTATGGATCATGCGGTCCCCATCCTGGAAGGCGAGTAGCGCCGACAGCACCCAAGCGTTTCGTGATCTCCTTCATACTCTTCTGCCAGGTCAAGGGTTGGCCACCTTTCTGCTTCCGCTACTCTAAATTAGGCACGAAAAAAGCACTCTCTTCGGCAAACGATGGTTCGGCATACGTAACACATGTCCCAACTAACGCAGCTTCTGGTGCTGGACACACACTTCAATGGAAATACCCACTGCACAACCGAAAACTCGCACTCTAATTGCCTCGTTGCGGATACGCCGAAAACAACTCACACGACCTATGCTCCTGAGACAACGATTGTCGAACACCTGGAGACGTCTCAGTTCCGCTGCTCAAACAGGCCATGTCTCACGGCCATACAACAAAACAGCGCGTACTGTAGCCTGATACACACGTTTCATGAGATTCTGGGATACGCCACTCTGACGCCATAGGTGTCTCAAATTAGCGAACGTGACCCGAGCCTTGCAGATTAATGCATTCACCTCATCTGTCACACTACAGTCAGTATCAGTGCGACTTCCAAGATACGTAAAACGCTTCACAACTTCCAGTACCTCTCTCTCCCTTGTAAGTGGTGTGTTTAGTGACTGCATGTCCAGGAGCATGACCTTACACATTGTAGGTACAATATGCTTACCAGAGGACGGGATGACTTTGGTCAATTCATCCAGGAATACATGAGCCTTCTTTTCGAACAAGAGAACGATGTCGTCTGCATATTCCAGATCGACAAGGTTTTCTTCACAGGCTATTTGAACACCGGGGTTTTAAAGACCCTGCAGCGTTCGTCTCATTATTTCATTGATCACAAAGTTAGAAAGGAATGGGGAGAATGGGCATCCCTGACGGACACCGCTTTGTGTGCGGAAGCTTTTGGAGAGCTCTCCGTACGCTCTCACAGGTCCGGAAGTCTGAGAATACAAAGAACGTATTGTGTTTACAAACTTCCGGGACATTCCTTGGTGAGCAAGCGTCTCGAGAAGAACAGACCGATCAACCGAGTCGAATGTGCCTCGGAAATCCAGGAATACTAGAATTGTGGGTCGCTTATACGTATGGCGTTTTTCTAGCACCTGACACAGTGCGAAGATTTCGTCAACGCAACCCCTACCAGGCCGGAATCCCGCTTGCTACCCTCGAGTCAGTATCTCGTGATCCACCGTAAGGCGATGAAGCACAATTGACGCCAACAGTTTCGTTACGACTAATTAGCCGTGCGGTCGCATTAGGGTGTCATACTGCATGTAGATATTGACCAGCTTGATGGATATTTCAGAGCTCCGACAAGTGGTCGATTCCAGATTGTGGTTGCCCGCCTAGAGAAAGACCAAACGTAAGGTTTAGTTGGTTTTCGACCAGTCACTTCTGGTAGAGCCAAATTTAGACGAAATATGGATTCTACAACGGATTCACAGTCAAGACTCTGTCCACAGAAACGTAGATAAAGTAGGTCTACTGCGCGTAGGATTACATTCCGGTGTCTAGAGGAATACTGTGGCGTCGAAGTAAGACAAATCCTGGAGTAGATTGGTGAAACGGTCCCTCCACTGCCGCGGAACTACGGAGGTAGTATACTGCTATCAACTAATTAAATAAGACCAAAGCGCATACGTAATCAAAGCATGTTCAGCATTCATCTGATACTGAACATTGTGAATATACTGGGAAAGAACACTGACAACCGTGGACAAACTCCTCTGATAAACTCTTGGGCAGACCAGGATGGAACGTCCAGAGGCCTGGAAAGGTCCTACTTGCCTTATCCTAATGAAGGAGTGCACTGAGACACCTTACTGAGTTCATCCATGACGTTTTTTCGGTGCATTACCGCTACACGAAGTAGAAGTGCAGTGATCCGAACTGCTGTCAGCTTTGCCTAAGCTAAAACTGGCAATTTTCGGTCGAGTCCTTAAGAAAACCGAAATCAACGAACTTTCGGTAGCCATTCGGGTTGACCACAACTCTGCCGAGCGATTATTTAACCACACCGAAACCTATCGCACTTATCCACTCATCATCATTGTCAGCTGTAAGAATCGCGTACTTGTCGTACGGTGGTTGTAGCTGCCAGTTTCGTTCACCGGTGATTCGGGGAGGTGGGGTAGGCAGCTGCACATTGGAGGCGGGAGCTGACATATTAGTGGGTAAACGTAAATACAGCATTCACCATGAAACAAAGCGTTCAAGATGACATGAAGTTGGTTGCAATTTTGAAGCGGATGTCCTAGATACGAGCATATTTATAGCATCCGAACGCATTGAGATAAGCAAGCGATAAACTTCGTTGTTACTCAGCCGAATGTCAACAAACAGGTATTATTAGATCCCAGACTATGGGAGAACCACTACAAGGCCTCATATGCAATAATTTTACCCACAAAACAATATAGGATCACGTTTGGCTTAAAATAGATAGAACTTCGGGCTAAACTCCACGGCTCCAGGGAAGCAGTCCATTGAGTTCGGATTTAGTGCTCAATAAATCACGGCCAGCTAGACACTAAGGAAAACTGAGTGTTCAAAGATGACAGCTCCACGATTGCCGGCAACCGGCCAACGTGGCAAAATTACCCCACCATACGAACTACCACAACGCTCGCAGCCCGAGTTCGGATGATTTTCCATGTCAACACGTTTCGTCTGGATGATTAGTTGTACGACCGGTGACTTCCAAAGCCTGCAACGAATTGACGTTTGGATCAACGAACTCGGTCACCTTGAAAACTGACTCACTTATCGCATATGTTGATTGTTGCACTGCTACAAACCAGTGTAAAATCTACTCCGACCGGCTAAAATCGTTGGTTGGCATTCTGGGTTGTAGGGGCGACCATGATCTGGGCCGCGGACTCAAGTCAGAGAATAAGGGCTGGCCGAGACAAGGTCTATGTGAAGAATCTTATGCGGACCAAAACCGATAGCGAAATGTCGGTGAGTTTCGATAATGCTCCTGGTACGAAATGACAGGTCGTAAGTCAAACACTAACTCAAGTGGACCTCAGGACAGCTTTTGCCTTACACCTAAGGGTGAAGGTAGCTGACGCGAATTCCACACTACCACTATTACTGTGTACCGTATCCATTCGATACAGGTTGCGGCTTTTTCATGATTTCACTCATGACAAGGTGCCGGCAGGCTGGGCAGCGAAAATGACACTTCAAGACCTTGACCGCACAGCTCGTTCAATTTCCTCATGTCGATTAACCCATGCTATGAAAAACAGAAAAGACTTCTTTCGAATTGGCACTTAGACTTTCCGATAAGGTTAAGTTCCTTTTTAGTGTGCCCCTTCTGATCGCAGGCTATTCAGCGGTTGTACTGTACTGCAGAGAGCACTGGGATCACAGCACTCGGGAGCGATACATTCATATGCAAAAACATTCTTGCAGTCGCTCCAGAGTGTCTCAGGTCGTCTCACCCGAAAGACATCCGCCTAGGTCGACAAAGCCTAACCTGTAAACGTTAGATCAGGTGTTCAACATCAACATCCTCATCATCTTTAGCGTTGAGGCGTTTCTGTGAGCAATTGGATCGTGTTGACAACACAAATTCGAACATTAACCGGCACCTTGGTGGACAACAAGCGTAACGCTAATGGTTGCATTTTGTAAAGGGTTTATGGACAAAAGTTGATCGGATTTGCGTTGAGACTATTGTCCATGGGATTTTTTATTGTCCTGATCTAGGAAATACCAGCTTATTTAGTTCAACAAGTCAAGACGTTGATCAAATGCTCTATTCTTTGTGGTCACCAAGCCTTTTCTCACCGTTTGAACTTTATTCCTATCAGTGCCACGCTCTAAAGGGAGGATGTGCACAACTTTCTGTGCAAGAAAAAAGTTGTATCTCTACTGGAAGGCATTGACAACTCGAGTAGCATTTCACAACTGAGTTGTTCACATCGAGTGATCACAAAACATGCATTCCAGTACTGTCCTGTAAATTGTTTTTGCATACGCTATTGTCTCATTGTCACAGATTCCCAAAGTGACACCGGATAACGTTCGGAACCAGAGTACACAATAATAAAAACACAGAAGTGCTTTAAAACTGAATGAATTTAGAGATAGGGAGGACAAAACGAATGAATGGGGTAGGGGACAACAAATACAAACTTCACAAATTTCGATCGAGGATAGCCAGGCAAAATCAATGGACAGTAGCGACAACGGGCCATATACATGATAAGACAAGCCTCGCCAGATAGCACACGTCAACGGTGCGAACGTCCGTAGGAACGATGTGTCGGTGGAGAGATGGCACGTCGTTCCACCGAACGTGACCGTTCACGTGTGTATTTCGACGAGCTTGGAGGAGTCCTACGGTCCCTCCGACTGGAGGAACCGGTAGTTCTTCGCTTAGTGTCACTCCGACCAGTAGACGAACGCGAACTCGATCGTCGGAAACGATCTGTTTTCGACGGCTGGGATCGCCGTGTGCTCGGGCTACGAGAACGCGCACGCTTAGTCACGGATGAGGAAGAAGCATTAGGGCGGCTTGATTTGTCCGTGTCTGTCCGCGACTCAGCACTGGGTTGCGTTCTAGGCGGCGTGAAGGGAGACTAAAAGAAAAAGCGAATCAAATTTCGAGGTGAACCGTTGGTAGGCTATAAAGTCGTTAGTTATTCGGTGAAATAGGTTTATTTGCAAACCCACTTGACATTTACGCTTTTCTTCTAGTAAAATGAACTCAATTTGCAGATGAGCATATGTAGCTACTTATCTACAATTTGGTGTTAACCGAGAACCCAAGGTTGAATGGAACCCGAGGACTATGCCTATCTGATGACCTACAAAAAATGAAACCGGCTATGGGCTGTCGTATTATACCCGTTACTTGTCACTTGCGTCAGATAATTGACAACCTCAAAAGAACAGGAGCAGAAACATAAACTGGTTGAAAGTATAAAATGCGCTAAGTAAGCAAAATAAATCCATCCACAAGCGAGGCCTTGGAAAAGAGATAATGATAAAAAAAATTATCGTTTAGCTGTTACACCCTTACGGTAACTAGCTGCTGTGTCACCCGGAGGAAGCACGAGGGCTGGGATACTGCAAGATAGTCGCTAACCGATGTCACCGACGTTAATACAGTCAGTCTGCACCCGTATGACCTGAATGAATAGTTTGCCAGGAGTCGCATTGTGCGTTTGTAATTGCCTGGCACTAGGCTACCATCCTTTTCTTCATTCCGAAAAACAAAATTATCTGACCCGGTTTTGTGGCAGTTGAGCATCATTTTCACACTGGGGTTGTCGACAATGACCTAGGGGTTATCTCCATCCAATACAAGGCTAAGAGAACGGGGCTCTATGAGGCAAACGGTCCTGTGTTGTACGAAGCAGAACCACTGTACGGCAAGTACGCGGTTCTTAAACCTGATAATTATGATGATGGTGATGATGTAAGAAGCACATGGCCTAAACTGTGGGTTGTAACCTGATGATATATTGAGGGAGAGTGACCCCTCGTCTGACGTACTTCAGTATTACTGATCTGGTATTCCCACCAGACTCAAGCAATGCTTCAAGGGCACCTCTAGTGAAACAGAGGGAGCCTTCGAAGGTCTTCCGCAAACAGCGTCTACGGGAGGAAGAATGTGGAGCCTTTATAAGATAAGGACTTCGAAACGACACGTTTCACCGCCAGATACTGTCAGTTACTGAAGATTAACAGAATCAAAGAGAGATCTGAGATAGTGAGCGACGAGCAATGTTGGTGGTCATAATGATTGGTGTGGTGCCAACATTTGCCGCAAAATGATGATCGATTCAACCCTCGCCACGCCAAAACCCAGCTTGCTTTTCGCGGATCGGACTCTCTCGATGGTGGATCAAACGTTGTGGGATAACACTATAGCACTTGGGTGATATGGCCATTAAGTTCATGCATGGAGGCTTTCGCACGATGTTCTCGCACCATTTTTCAAAGTAAGAATCACCGACGAGAGGTTTCATCTTGTCGATTTCTTTCCTAACCCCATATATTTCGCAGTAAAGTCATTAGGATACCCAGGAGAGACTATTCACGTTCTACGAAGAACGCACAAACCGTTTGGACTACGTGCTTTGTTGCAATGAGGTTGCACGCTGGACTTCTATAGACGATGACGGACTGATATTGATCTATCACTCGGGTTCACTTAGCTCTTTCACAGGGTGAGTGTATGGGGCCCAGTTGAACTGTTCAAGACGACGTTACAATCAGCGTTTTGAGAATCCACCCGCTAGATACATCGAGCCAGTGACGTTGAAGTAGTTCACGTGATTTTCGGAGGACATAACTAATTACATTCGCCACTTACCAGCCAACCGAAGTCCTTGCACAGCTCTTTACGCATATCCATGTCGAAGGTAGAACCGAGTTAGGAAAGGTCGAGCAGTGACTTGGTAATGGGGTAAGAAAGCCAACGCCAGTTAACTCAGTTGCACTGGTCATTGCCGTATCGTTGGATCGAAACCGCGAAACGGGAGACATCAATGGCGTGCATTCACCCAAGCTGTCGCCTTCATTGTAGGGCTTGCCTTCCGGCCTCTAACGTAAAATCACTGTCACCCTTGGACTTACGCACCTACTGCCCCTAAATGCGTAGTTCGCAAATGGAAAGACTGAGCGGGATATCCGACGAAAAATTGTCTCTAATCTCCCTTATTCTTGCGCGCGCTTCCTCACTGTTAGTTGTCCTGCGTTGTAAAGCCAGGATAGGCGAATCCAACCATGCACTAATCAGTGTGAGCCACGTATAATGCTAACCGGCGAAATTGAACGAAATTACGAGACATTAACAAGACTTACTCGCTCTCGCTTTCGGGTTTCCGTCGGGCACTTATCACGTTTGCCAGACTGTGAGTCCTGAGGCAGTGGCGCAGGCGACTTTTTGCGACTACGATCGCCAGCATCTGCTCGCTGCGGTTTGGACTTAGATTCATTCGTCACTTCTGTTTTGGAGATATTCTTTGAAACAGCCGACGGTTCCGAACGATCAGGTTGTGTTGTTTTCGCCGCAGAACTGGACTGGCCTGATCGTTCGGTTGCTTTCTGACCAGTTGCTTCGTTTGGACCAGGACTTGTGAAAGGACTGCGTGTAGCCCGTTGACTTGGCCTGGTTGACCGAACGTAGGTGGACCGCTTGGCAGCATAGGCACGTAAACGTTCTTCTGCTTGCTTTTTCGCCTACACAAAATATGACATGGTTATAAAGGAACGGATGAAATATTGAAGGTCCGGTTGAAAGTGTAAAACTACAGTTACCACCAACCTTAACGGTGTACAGTTAGGTTCACCGATAACACTATGGAGGCAAACAGCTGCGCATTAGAGGTAATAGAGGTAACAACTGCAAACCAAATGGTGCAGCGTTCGAGGGAAGTTACCAATTGTTCGACATCAACGTTTTTAGGAACCTTACGAGTAATGTATTAGCTTCGGTTCCTTTTACCAAATCGCCATATCGAAATCCTACCCATTCCGGTAAGCTAAGCTACGGTTCTAATGGTATCCCGTGAGAATAACACATTTCCTGTCAATTAACCCCACTGTGGGGGTCATGTGACTCACTGATTGTTGTCAACGAAGGTTGCTGAAGCATTACACGGAACGCAAAACTTGGCCAAGCATAAGAAACATTCTTATAAATCGAAAAGCATTTCGGGTCATATTGCTAGTCATGGATGCCTAGGTATGGCGGGGATGTTCGAAACAACAAACTCACCTCGTCATCTGTGAGGGGAAGCCAGTAAATGCAAGGTGTGCTCTCCGTTTTTCGGAACAGGTCATCCAATAGCTTTGCAGGTTCTTCTTGTTTTTCTTAAAAAACGAGGAGGAAATGGTTGGTAAGGCGCAACAGAAACGGATTAAAAATTGTGTTTTTTAATCAGGTAGTGTCAAACAACCCTCTTAAAAAGACGGTATTTTGCTTGGTCACATCATGTCGCGGAATGTTTGGATGACCTAAATCGTGCCACGGGTCTACCAAGGTGCAGGAGGAAGCACGACACTGGGCAGAATCCAAAATCAGGACTGCTTAACGGAAGGCAATAAGATACTGTAACGAACGACGAGTCCACCCAGCACTTGACTGGCCGAACCTTCTAGCTGTTGAAATCAGCCGGGTGCTTGTAGGAGCTCCGATTCATCATCATCCTCATCATCGACAGCATGACATCAGTGTTTAACACCAAATCTTCACTGCCGCACAACCATGATTCATTTGAAAGCCTTATTGTGAAGAAAAGAGTGAAAGTGGATGAGGAAGGGACTTGTGGCTAGCTTATCACAATCATTCCGAGGTGCCTACACCTCCATTCACTCAGCAATCTGGATAGAAACTGATAACAAGAACGCCACTGACGTCGGTTGGCAGCCACATCTTGTAGTGTCTCCAACCAGGCGCAGTGGGGATCACGCGGTCCCCATTCTCGAAGGCGAGTAGCGCCAACAGCACCGAAGCTGTGCTAAAGGGTTAGCCATCTCACTGCTTATGCCACTCTGAGTTGGACATGGAAAACAGCATTCTGTTCGGGGAAACGATGGTTCGGCATACGTAACACATGTCTCAACCAACGCATCTTCTGGTGCTGGACACATTCTTCAATGGAAGTACCCGTTACACAACCGAAAACGCGATTTCTAACTGCCTCATTACGGATTCGTCGACACCAACTAACACGAGCTGTGGTTCTGAGACAACGACTGTCGCACATCTGAAGAAGTCTCAGTTCCACTGTTCGAACAGGCCAAGTCTCACAGCCATACAATAAAACAGCCCGTACTGTAGCTTGATACACACGTCCCTTCAGATTCAGGTATAAACCATTCTGACAGGCACAAACCTCAAACATGGCCTCCTGTATAAAACGTTTTACTCGTGTTCTGGACTGTATTACCATATAGATAAACCACAGTAACACAATGCATCGCCGGTAACTTTGATCAGACTTAAAAAAGGGAGAACTCCAGTGTAGCACGGATGGCCCCGTAAATGACTGGGCTTTCATGTGCAACGACCAGAATAATCCTTGGGTCATCGCTTGGTTGCAGTATCAGGTTAAGTAGCCAGACCTTAAGACACTGACTCACGAAAGCGGTGGGGGCGAGATAGCTCAGTGGTTAGATCGCGAACTTACTGACCGGAAGGTCCGTAGTTCGAATCCGACCTCTGCCTCTTGGCTTCCCCTGTATAGGCTTTAGCAACCTGGCAGTATCCCAGCCCTTGTGCTTCCTTCTGGGTGGCATGGAGTTAGGCGCCGAAAGGGTGCTACAGCTGAACGATTTTTTTCATGAAATCAGATTGCAAGAGATCTTTGACCTTCTAGAAACACTACATGGTGCGTGAAAAAGTCTAACTTCTCAAGTATCCGAATTCTGCCAGTATATATCAAAAAGACAATACCGGAAGCTGACCTAGATTACAACACGACAAAGAGGGAAAATTGAGTGAACCTACCCTCGGCTGGTGAGTTCGTTCAGGTGTAGCACCCTTCGGTGCCTAAATGCCATGCCACCAGAAGGAAGCACGAGGGCTGGGATATAGCCAGGTTGCCCAAGCCTATAGAGGGGAAGTCGAGAGACAGAGGTAGGATTCGAACCACGGACCTTCTAGTCAGTAAATTCGCGATCTAAAAACTTGGGCCATCTCGCCCCGAAGACATACCTTCCAGGTGTTTCGATTATCTGGATGCAGTACGTAAGACTGCTGATGGACGCTAACAAGATGTTACTGACTCTACAATGATACGCACATGAGTGATCAACACCAACACAGTTCCACTGTGTCGAGGTCCGTTCCAAGCCTGAAGGAGGGTCACATAGACCAAGAAGATCCGTCAGACTGGTTCACCGGACGGAGTTGGTGGGATGGAACTTACTCTTTGGTTCAGAGGGTTGTTTATGTACAGGCGACTTCTGTCGAGGTGAAGCATCTTTAACCGCAGCATCTGAGTCCAGCCGAGTACGTAAATCCTGTGTGCCCGATCCACGTTTACTGGTACGGTCAGACCGAGGGGCTGCAAAGCAGGAGGCAAAGGATTAAACGAAATTACGCAAACGTCTAGTAATTTGCAAATGAGTTTATTTTAATATACAGAATTGAAGGTCATTCAGACAGACGATCGGGACCAGTAGCCAGAATATTCCGAAAACGAAACCTATATACAGCTTCTTATGCGTAAAAGCTACCAATTTTGTTGGTTTGGTTTCTCACATGGTTCGAGTTGCCACTAATAGAGAACCCACAGAAGAGAACACGTTAAGCAGGTAGCGAAAGTACAGCGACATACTTTGTCTGTAGCTCACGTCGTCAAGTACACACATTTTCTACTTAGAGTGGGACCCATAAAACAGGCGGCGACCGGACGATCGATCGCCAATGATAAAAACAAAACGACCAACCCTAAATGGATGGTTTAGGGATACCATATTCACAGGTGTTCGTATACTTTTGCTGAAGACCAATTGTGAATACCTTAGCGTTGCTTCAGATATCCTGATCCTTACTGTATCCCACGGAGATACAGGGAGAAGCAAAAACACCAGACAACCATCATAGGTTAGCCCGCAATCGATTAAACTTCGAAATGCCATGGAGACAAGGTTCACAACCTGAAACACCGAGCGGTCGTCCCAGGAATAAACTTTGTTGAATACGACCGTTGAGGTGTCGTGTACCGCATAAGGCAGTAACGGTCCAAGTGTGAAGCAAATAGACTATTTCGGGAGAAAACAGAGGAAACAATGGACGCCGGAGCTTCAAGTGAAGCCCATTCAGTAACACACAGAGGACTGAAAGTAAGGCCATTGATTACTCTGCACTGCTAACCAGCAGCAAACCTGTTAAGTGCAAATGACTATGAGGGGCTGAGGTTTGCGGGGTTTCACCCAAGGTAGGTGTAGTCCAGATGTCACAAAGCTTCACGCATCTTGCTACCATCCCGTAATAGCCTTCAAGTGGATATGCTACGACAGACTACTGTGCACGAGAATTTGAAATAACGGTCTGCTGGTATCTGTGGTTCCGTTGTGGGTATGTTGAAGGGCATCGTCTGAAGCTAGGTGACAAAAGACGTCTGAGAGCCAAGCTTCGACTGGCTGCTGCCCCGAACACCAGAAATGAACTCACCTCCCTTGTTTACTTTCTCGTCAGTGGGAGGACATTCCCCAGAAGCTCCATCTGGCTGTCCTAAAACTAGGTGTCTAGGAGGTGCTAAGTCACCGGAGGCACCGTTCGCCTTCATCCAGTCAAACAGAGCCTCATTGCCAAAATCGCACCGCAAAACACGTGGATTCATCGATGGCCAACGGCTCCCGTCTAGACCCTCACGGCACCTGGGAGAGGGCGAACAAACGAAAAACGATAGTGTGATGGGCTTGGGCGAAATCTTGTGGGGAAATCGAGGTGATCAAGAAATTACGTGAGTCATCTAGGTGAGAAGTGACGGACATCATTCGGTTATGAGGGTGCACGGCAAAAGTGCAGCCCTGAATGCAATATGCCGTCATACACAATACAAAAATAATACTCAACTATCATGAGAAAGTTATCACTAAAGACGGCGGAAGTTGAAGGGACACTTAAAAAGCTGAACTGATGATCCACAAAGAGCAACCCATCACGCATTTTGTCCTGTTTACTAGCTAAGTAGATGTATCAGAATTCGATCACCCGACGTTCAAGTTCCATAATCGAATTCTTAGTCACTACCCTAATTAGTGCCCACTCCAGTCTTCAACACATCATATGTGAATCCAATTGAGTTTCTCAAGTTGTTAAAAATTCTGGCTACTATTGTACACGTCTAATTTCCCCCAGCTTTTCTCGAACTTCAACAAAACCTAACGATTGCCAGGGATTGAGCAAGGAGCAGGGAACGATTAACCGTTCACTAGTGGTCAGATTTCCAATGACTCAATACGTACTTTTCTCGAACTTCAACAAAGACCTAACGATTGCCAAGGATTGAGCAAGGAGCAGGAAACGATTAACCGTTCGCTAGTGGTCAGATTTCCAATAACTCAATACGAGTAGGCGAAACCAAAGAAAACAGTGGTAATTTCAGAGAGCCAAAAGTCTTATACCGAACAATTTTAGTCTGTGGATACAAACAAGTCTTTGTTTCCCTGTGCGTACGCAAAACGTCCATGAAATGTCTTGTATGTGCAACGAAAAACCATGCACCTATGGAGATAGAAAGCTAATCGTCAGCAAGCTAGCCAAGACTAAGTCATTGTAATCACCTACCCTGCCTTAGCCAACTATTGAGCCTTTTCTCTAGGGGTTATCTGTATGAGAAAGAAAGGTTTCCTTGTGGTATTACTATTTGTTTCACGTCAATTTACCTGTATACGTGATCGAAATGTCTGCGTGCGTGCTGCAGCATCGCCTTAGCACTTTATGATGGTTCAGCCATTAATCCTGCCACAGTAGTATACAATACAGTTCATCCAACGTGAATACAGAGATGCAGCTCCTCTCAGTTAGCACACAAACAGCGTAGCCTACCAATAAATGTCACTTCGAGAGGTAGTACAATGAACACGTTAGCTAGTTGTTAGCGCTCAAAAGTAAAATCACTGGCTACGACAGTGTACTTCTGTTCCGCTGCCAGTCTTCGACGGTTAAAGCAACGCATCACATTCACTGACTGAAAAATGCAGGCGAACCTAATGCAATTGGGAGTAAGGAAGAGAACATAGCGAGCCATAGGTTCAGACCGAACCATTGCGCCCTGATACTACTTACTATAACTAGCTGTCTGCACGTACACATCAGCCTCCACCTTCACAACTTCCATTCCATAAAATATTGCATACCCCATCCCCATGAACGGAAGGTCTGCGTTTCGAGCCTAACCCCGGAATCTCGAGTGATCCTAAGATTGGGCAACTTGGCCGTATGTCAGCTCTGCTGCCTTCTTAGGGAGCTTTGGCAGTTAGGTATAGAAAGGGCATTAGAGTTCTGCAGTGATTTCAAATGCACTGGGTTCGTATTCACATTGATAACTGAAAGCGTGAGACCGACGACTACAACGGGTGTGTGGGTGATTGTTTGCTAATTATTCCTAATCCGGAAGACACGTCGCGAGGTGCGACAGCTTGCGCAGTTTAGTAACCCACTGAGCTATACAAGGGGATGCCCATGCGGCATCAACAGAGCCCCTCCCATCAATGCAGTCTATGGGAGTCTGTCAAACAGTCTCGTGGTCTTTCTAGTTAATGGTTGGAAAAAGTGTACGATGTGATTCCAGGAAGTTGGTCGAAAGGCTACAAATGAAAGCTGATAGCGCAATATGAAAGTTAGGGGAACACGTACTTCGTAGCCGCTTCCAAGGTATTCATTCGTACCAATGAACTCGACTTGATACGATCAAGCCAAATTTCGTCAACTGGACCAAAACGATCCGAGATCATCTGGCGCAGCTGATCGACAGTGAACGGTCGTACGAGGGACCGGATATACACAATGTTCGTTGGCTTGTGTTTGGCCGGTTGACAAGGTTCCACGCGTTCGGGGGATTCAACCAAATATCCGACAGCTTTGGTTTCTGAAGTTTGAAAGCCGAATCGAGGAGAGTGGAAGAATAAGTTTTAGGATAATAATAATAACAATAATAGAGTTCTTCAAATCCTACCATGTTCGGAATATCAGTATGCCATACGGAGGTTGAAATAACCAACAGAGGCGAAGTACCATGCGGAGTGATTTGACGTGTGGAACAGACCGACCAATTCAGTCACTCAACCGCTTGACGTTTAGGACACAGTAAGCTTACTGAAGTTTCTGCCAAGAGGCTAGCAATTCGGTCGTTTCTCCATAAGCTTACTTCACGCAGCGCGATCGGATAAATAGGGTATCGATATGGTTCTTTGAGAACAAGTTTGAAAAATACGAAGGGAGCACGCAACTGACCAAATCTCGACGTAAGGGGACGATATAACGGCTTATCGTTGAACATCACAATTAGCGTGATTTACACGGAACACAGCTCACGCCGCCAATCATGGTGAAGCACGTCTATCACAGACCAATCAATGACATACCTTTCGGGCCCTTTCTCTTGTGTGGTGATGGAGGTTTTGATGAGGTATTCCGTTCTGGGCTGCTTTTTCTCGAACCAACACTCACTGGTGCACGTTCGGGGGACGCTACTTCCGCAGTCGATAGACTACGATCCTCAGACGATGGTTTAACTGGGGATTTCGGCTGCTTGGGAGTCTTAGTTTCTTGGTGAATGTCTTCAGTGTCCATGTTGTCTACAATGGCCTCCACCTCCAGCTCCACCTGTCCATTATCCGGTTCGTCGGTTTTACTGTTCGCCGGAGCAGTTTGCACGGTGTGTGAATCGGACTGGGTACCAGCACCAGGTACGGTCGCAGAACGATTGTACGTGTCCGATGGCTCAGCAGTTAGCGTTGGCACCAATTTCTGGAATCAAAGTAAAGGCGAAATAGCAGCAAGCTCAGGTGCTCGTCTTTTAATGGTCGGATTTTCCACAAAAGCCCAAATGATCAAGATACCAGAGACTCAGAGCTAGGGAATAATGGTTGAGGATTGGTGAAAGATTCATGTTTGGTAGCAATGTTGGGCAGTTGACGACGAAAATGAAAAACAACAACCTGCAGTTAGGCAATAGGGAAACAGAACAACTTAATGCAAAGTAAACCGCCGTGAAAGCAGGAAATAGGCTGACTGAGGCCAGGTAATCACGCGTATATGATGGATGAGAATATGAACGTCAGCAATTCCCACCGTTCAAATTACACAAATAACCTGTTTTGACGTTAATCGGGCGGAAAGCTCGAGAGTTTCGACAAAATAAGAGTAAAACAAATCAGCTCTTTCAACCGTGGTGTTATTTCCGCCCATAACCACCGTACAACACAGGCACAAATAGGTTCAATCTGAATTCCATAATCACAAGGGTTTTTGATAAAAAAATTCCGCCCATAACCACCGTACAACACAGGCACAAATAGGTTCAATCTGGAATTCCATATCACGAGGGTTTTTGATAAAAAAAACTCCTGTCCAAAACAGGGAGTTACTCTGTACAGTCATCTGGTAGTCCCATAGGACCGTCACGGTTGTTCAGATGAAGCGCTTTTTCAACGCAGCTCTGCGTGAAGCACGATCGCCGACCGGGACCAAGATCACCTACACTGTGGCCAGGCATGAGGCACACTGTATGCACACGCTTGACAGTATACGAAAAGGTAGTGAACACGAGCAGTTGGGGGAGACTTCGGCATTTACACCAGTCAGTTCAGCTGCCGACAGTTGGTTTGTTCAAACACACACACACACACTGGAAAACTAGTACTTTCCTTAGAAAAACCGAATCGTACAGCTGTAGTACCCTTTCGGTGCCTAACTGCCATGCCACCAAAAGGAAGCTGGGATACTGTCAGGGTGCCCAAGCCTAGACAGGGGAAGTCAACAGGCAGAGGTCGGGTTCAAACCACAAACCTTCCGATCAGTGAATTCGCGCTCTACCCACTGACTCATCTTCCCTTCAACAAAACCTGAATACAAATGGTACAATGAATACATTTGTCTGTCACTGCATTCAAAATTATGAGACCCTGTCGTTTCGGCGCTAGCGAATCTCGTCCATTCGATCAGATATGTACTGTACGTATTCAGAGCCTTAACAGCTAGATTTTAAAATTTAGAATCGCACCAACGTCTACAGAAGAAAGGCTTGCTTCGAACGAAGCCTACGGATAAACCTATCTACAACTTTCAGGAAAACGAAGCATACAACGAACCTCCAGAGAATCCGTAGAAATGCTAATCACACCGGAAGTTGAACGTGTGCTACTGCCCCACTGACGGCGTCGACTAGCTGGACGTTCGTCACTTTTTCGAACGTCAGCTGGAGATTCAGTTTTTGAGGTCGAGGTTCGTCTCCTGTGTTCATCTGCGGTAAAAAAAGAAATGCACCGTGGGATAACATCCTATTCCAACCAAAAACCTGTATATTTTTAAACGAAGGCAAGTGACTCTGTACAAATAGAACCCTCCTATCTCTTGAGAGACGCCGACCTTAGAAAAACCAAGGTGAGAATAATTACGAAGGGAACCAAATACCAATACCGCAGAAGTCCTAGACCTGCGCATAGCAAAAAGAGATACGCACTGATCCCCTGAATAGGAAACATCCGTGAAACTTCACTAAAGTGGCCCCTTTTGTGGAAAGATCCTCTATTTGGAGAGGGGCGGTGCGATCCAATCTTCAGTTCATGACACCTGAATGAGCGTTAAGTCACATTGTCAATTTCACGAGAAATCTGTTACGACTGTGTGCAGTTTGATTTATCCCCCTCTACTTGATCTCACATAAAACATAATTATCACATAATGGGTAGTAAAAAATCTAAAGCTACTAGGAGCATAAATGTCGTCTTCTCGAGGAATTCCAATGACTGAAACAGATACTTTGTGACTACGCGGTGGTCCTAAAATTAAACTACTATCACGTGTTCACTATTTCAAATTCCCACGGAATGCCTAATTGGCCGTCCTTGAATTTATTATGTAAAGTGCGTTATTTAAGATGATAAATGAAAGATAATCGTTCAGCAGTAACACCCTTTCGGTGCTTAGCTGCCATGCCACCCAAAGGAAGCGCGAGGAAGCCAGGTTGCCCAAGCCTAGACAGGGAAAGTAGAGGCGGGTTCGAAGTTACTGAGCCATCTTGCCAGTTATCTACGTCAAAGTAGAGAAAATAACCACCCGGATAAACCCGTGGTGCCATATAAATCAAATACCACACTACTGTAGTCCAACATCGTCCAACAAGGCCTGACTTCCGTTTCATAATCATGTTCACCGGATAAATACAAAATTTGTGGCGGACATCGCGGTGTTTTCTTATGCTTGCATTATCAGAATGATCGGTTTGGACTTAACTTAATCGCAGAGCCTACTCGATAAGCCGCGCTGAGTGCAACTTATGCCGGAACACGGTCAAACAGGATTTCTCAGCCACAAAATTCTACACAAACAGACGAAACTCGTACAATATTACGAGTACTGGAGGGACGATTTCAAGATAATGGAACTGAAGCGCACGGGATCTACGAGAATGTTTTTACGGAACAGCTAAGCCCGATGGTTTCACCAACTTTAAAGGATACGACATCCTTCACAGTGATGATCGTCAACAACTCTACAGCAGTTGGTCAGTATTCTGTGTGGCGTCTTTTTGGCTGGACCGGACAAGCCTTGTTGCAATTTTGAGGAACAGGAATATCTTATTGCTCAAGACGTGGCCATTATGACCTTCAGGAAGACTAACCTCACAGTATGGTACACTCCATGATTCGATGTGTTATACACAAGCCTAGGGATCACCATTTTGCACAGAAAGTTCAACCAATGGGTAGCTCCAGAAATGCAAATCAGAGTCAACCGGTGGAGATAAGTTTAACTGTTGAACACCTTGCCTCCATGTCAAAGATTTATAAACTTTTGTAAAAAGATGGTCCTTTTTAGAGGATAGGGCGGTCAAAATCGCCACAATCCTCCGATCCCTTTTGGTGAACTTGACATGTTCCAGTGGTAACTTTCGCGGGACAGGGAGAGTGTGGTCCTTTAAGATAGCAGGTGTCTATTCAGGCGAAGAGCAGAAGTTGAAAGGACGACTGTTTCCTCACTTTCGATCCAAAATTACGTGAGCACTCATCCTGTTATGTCCAGCGCAAGTTGTGCACTGTCCCTGTCGGGTTACTGCTTTTCGAGAACAGTGCTGCTTTCCGTACCGAGCTTAGAATAGCTTCACTGGAATTTAGGGGTAACACGCAACTTAGTGGGGGTACAGATGCAGCTGTGAATAAACGGCAACTGCCTCTGCGACCTGCAGTTGGGTTGACATGATTCATATGAACTTAGCTGGAGACACGGAAACAACCCAAACAGTTTCTATCCAGAATGAGTGAATACGCGTTCGGAATTGAATGTAAGATGGGCTGACGCTACGTTCTTCAAGTACGCCTGTATGTCAGTGAATCACCGCTGTTCTGTTGTGGTGGTACTACCAAGGATACCAACGTACGCGACATACACCGTGCAACACCTGTATCAGCGTGGGGACAACGGATCCTGTGGTCCCCAACACCATCAGGCACGGAATAGTATAGTAGTAAAAAAGAAACACGTACAGCCTAATAAATCTCAGAACGATTCAGGTAATAGGGGAAAAATCCAGGAAACGGGCTTACGCTACCGGTGCAAGTAGGTCGAAGGTTAATTACGGGTATCCATCTGATAGGAGTGGACCTTCAACCGATCTAATCAACTCGGTCGACCAACATAACCCAGAGTCTAAGGATCAGAGGAAATTTCAACCTACCTTTCGACGAAGAACGCCGTTCTGTGGATTCTGGATGCCCATTATGACGTGGTGGGGGCTAAAACAGTAGACGTTTAACAATCCAATAAAAGTCCAGGATCGCGATAAAACGAATATTAGAACAATATGTCACCCAATCATCGACGAGCACACAACGCCCAACCTACAGGCAATCGTACAACCAGACTCGACTTCTTAAAAGCAAACGAAGACAGGCAGCAACTACACACTAATATCTTCCGCAAAAGCGGTTTTGTGGAAAACAGATGACTAGGTATCTTGGTTACAATTTCAACTATTTCCTCTGGAAAGACCACTTGAAGACGTCGAATGAAGCTCCCATCAACCAACTTCTTCATTGGGCAAGCTGCTGTAATTGGAAGAGTTATTTTCGTGGTTCGCTATCAGTGTGCGGATTTAACCCGAATGAAGCGACTGGTGAGCAAACGAAGAGGTGCTGCGCATGAGTTACGTTCTACATTAGACTGACGATTGCATCCATCCCCAGAAAATGATGTAGCAAGCAGCAGTTGAGAGTTTTGTAGATCAAAACACCTAGGTAGAAATGAAGAATTTCGCTAAACAGAATTAGCTACAGTCGTTCCAACTGATTAGATGATTAAAAATGAATATCAACACACGGCATACACATTTCATCAGCCTGATAAACAAGTCCACAAACGGAACCACAAACACCCAACGAAGTCGACACCAGTTTATTAAAGTTATGGAAAGAAACTACCGTTTTCCGTGTCAGATCCGAATGAGATGCAGATTGTTTTCCTTCATTTGTCCTCTTTTGCGTTGTGTGCAGGTAGAGCGATGCACCAGGACTCAATTCGTCTGAGAAATTTGCCAAAAGGCAATGAAAAGTTCCGAATTCGGCAAAAACGGGCAAGTTGACAGGTGTCAACAGTGAGCCTGACGTGTGTTATTGGCGTACATGTACAGGAGGATAAGATTGAGGACAACAGGCAGAAGCTAGACAACAGAACGGTCATAGCCAAACAGATGTGGAGAGTTTATCTTTCGAAAAAGATTAGAATGTGTGTATGGTATTTTTGGGATGGGTAGCAACGCCAAAGATCTGAAGAAGTCCATGTTGCAGTTAAGATAGTGAATTCGATGCACGAAATTGGTGAAAATAAATTGGCATTTATGTTTCTTTGGACAGCAAAAGAGAATAGGACACGATGAAAGTGAAAACGACACAGGCCAAAATGGATTGTGAATAATACAACGGAAACAACGAAAGGTCATCAGTGAATTCCCGGCAGGGTCGACAGCGACTCGATGCAAAAACGTTCGTGGAAGAGTCAGTTGAGGTATGTACATGAAGAAAAGGGGGAATCAGTTCATCAGAGATTGTTCGTTGAAGACAAGCACCAGGAGACAAATGTTCGGATGCTGTTCATATGGTACCGGATCGAAGAGTCATATCAAATGGGATTCGTCTTTTCCGCTGTGTCTCAACAGCCGTTTCGTGCATTAGCAGTAGTGGCGGTGACAGTGGCACGAACAAAGCGAAGCGGGCGCGACCAACTTACAAACGCCGAAGGAGATGCTTGTGCAACGAGTTTGGATGATCACATCAAGACAGTGGAACCGACCGCCTCAAGGGGGACTAGCGAGTACAAACAAGGAGACGATTGACAATTTAGCAGGAAGGCCAGTTTGACGACGCGCACCGCCTCACGGCGAACGCAAGGACGCTCTCGATCGATGGTTCGTTTTGTTGTAAGTACCTAGATAAGGATGGATCCGTGATTCTAATTGGACAAACATCCCCATAACCCTTGCTACGAAGCCCTTGGGCAAACTCTATCCTGAAAGTACATCAGTGTTGTGCTTCTTGCTCTTATTCGAGAGCAAGATCCGGGAATAACTTGTCCAGAAGCCTGGGTCTGAGTTAGTTGCTCAGTCATGAAGGAAAGAACTACGAATGGCGGAATAAGCGCATGAAATGGAGCCAGAGGCAGCATTTCACGCAAACACAACTACCCAAAGGTCAAAATAGACTACTCATGTTGCCAAACCGACCTTAACCGAGTAGACCCACTGAACTGTGTGGTGACTGATGTGCGGTCCGGCGAACCGACGATGATCCGGTTCAAGATCGTAGCTAAAGAATCTAATTAAGATGGGCTCCTGCCCGGAGATTTCCTATTCAAAGAGTCATGCAAGGATAGTGAACGCACGGATACGCATTAGAATAATAGAAAAAACAACGGACAGTCAGACTTAAACGGGAACAGGGGGACTTACCAAAGACGGTTCACTAAAAGTAAAAATAAAACTAATTTAAAAGTATGAACTGGGGGAAGAGACTACACTCATAAAACTGGCACAAATGTCAATAATCATGAAGTCAGAAGTGGGAAAAATGAAGGTACTTGCTTCCACCAAGATGTTATACCTACGGTTGGTGTGCAGGATCCCAAATGGTAACCGGAGTGGGCAGGAAATAAAAAGCTATTTGTAAGATGTCCGGACTTAGTTGGTATCTCTCATTTCACGATGGAGTAAGAGATGCTGCATCACATCAGCAGCGCTCTTTGCAAACCTCACCCATTGTTAGCCAAGTAGACAGCGACCGGCGAACTTTAGCTAGGCGATAAAACAGATTTTGGACGTAAAAATACTGCTGGCTTAATCCAGCAGGGGGAAGTCACAGAAGATCATATCTGTGCCAGTAACTCACTCTTTTGTCACCGAAATAACGGTGACGGCTGATGTGTCTCCGGTTTCCACATCCGAATCTGGGGCATCCAGCTCTAAGGCATCATCCACTGGTTCCAAAACATTATCCCGTATCTCCGCGGGGACAACCGTATCCGAATCCTGAGACAGGAGTAAAACAACCTGTGATGCATTAAAAGCACAAGCACGGCATCAACTATAATAACGAATAAAGGGAGACGCGTTTGGTGGTGATGTTCATGTGTTGTTTGCTGGTGCTGCTAATTTTTGACGAATACACATTGACATCCTTCTAATGTTCGCATTATTATTATTATTATTATTATTATTATTATTATTATTATTATTTATTATTATCATCATCATAATCATCAAAGACAGCAACCTCAGTGTTGCCACTGCTGCTTCACTGCCGTAAATGTTCGTAACGACGTCGTGAACCTGAAAACCAAGTTAGACGCCTTCGTACTTTTAAACAAACATCTCCTGGGTTATAGTTAGTTTGTTTTGAGAATTTCTGGGACAGCAGGCGCCCACGAATAGCAACTCGGTGCTCGTTCTAGTGACAGATTTTGCAACCACGTGCGAATCGTTGAGTAATGCCAGGACCTCTACTCTGAGAGCGCTAGTCATGAGATGGTGTGCGGCTTATGGTTAGTTTCGAAATCCATGTAAACAGAGTGTACGAATCGCTGCAGATTTCGTCATCTGACAACTTCAAAACTCATGACTGGATATTCCCCAAACACAGAACTTTTGGTAATCGTTGAAGGCACCAGTCGTCATAAATTTCTAATTTCCGAGTGTCTACTAACAGAGACCGCTTTTCATAGGCGTAAATTAAGACCGCAAGTAGTTCTGCATGACACGTTGGTCGGCAGCACGGAAACGAGTCAACCTGACACTTAAATTCTTTTTTTGGGTAAGATGGCTGAACCCGGATACTTGAATATAGCAACCTGTCCGGCTGTTCACCACCTACGTTGTAAGGTCACGCAGACACGTCCATGGAGCCGAAGAAAAACGTAATAACAGAAGTACTGATTTCTGCTCTTACGAGTACTTACAAAATTATCTAGCGTGCGTGAAACTTACCACAGGATGCATACATCAGCATATTCTAAGTCCTCTATCTGGGAGTCGAATGAAAACGAATGCCTACCAGACCACTAATCAATACGGAGGCTGAAGAGCAACGGTGACACTTAAAAGCTTTAAACGGAAGTTTCCGTGCCCAATTAATAGTGGCGGAAGCTGGTGGGGGGGCAACCTATGAGCTGGCAGAGGGTTATAAAAGGGATTACGAGACGTTTGGGTGCTGTTGATGCTATTCGCCTTTCAGGATGAGCCCCACTGCGCCTGGTTGGAGACATTACAAGACTTCGTTCAGCTGTAGCACCCTTTTGGTGCCTAACTGCCATGCCACCCGAAGGAAGCACGAGGGCTGGGATACTGTCAGGTTGCCCAAGCCTAGACAGGGGAAGTCGAGAGACAGAGGTCGGGTTTGGACCACGGACTTTCCGGTCAGTAAATTCGCGCTCCAACCACTTGGGCCACTTGGCTGCTAATCGGTAACAATGGCGTTCTTATTGTCAGTCTCCACCCAGATTGTCTGAATGAGTCTGGAGGTGTAGGCACTTCGGAATGATTATACTAAGCTAGGACCAAGCCTCTTCAATGTCCACCTTTATTCTTTTGTTCATAACAAGGCTTTCAAATAGATCGTGGTTGTACGGTAGCGAGACATCAGTGTTGAACAGTGATGTCACGCTGTTGATGATGATGACCTCAACCAAATCAACTTCAGCCTGGGCAACCATGAGGTAACATTTGCCCTCACTTTATGCCCATACTTCCCTCTCTCATTCCTCATCCCACAAGCAAACGTCGCTGGATCACCTGGTGGTCAGTTATCTGACCGATGTCCCTTATAAACTTAGTTGCTTATTGACAGTACACAAAATATCGCCGTTAAAATCATTTCCAAATGGGAGCTTTTAACGTCCGTACTCTTTGTCAAATTGACAAACAGGTAGTGCTTTCTCACACTTTATACCTTAAACACTCACACAAAACTCGGGTGTGGACATGTATCCTAAATCACCGGAGATAAACTCAGCTCTTTCAAATTTCAGTAATCCAGGAGGAACGACTCCTGGGAGTTACAATCGAACCTTGGAGCCGAAAGCGCGGGATCGGATTCCAGTGAACAGTCGTCTTTGAGTCGTTTGGTTGTCCAGCTCGATCAAGTTCAGTGGTACTCGACATAAAAGCCGGTGTATGTTTGCAGTGAAATAGACATTCTGCGCGGATTTGTCCGGCCTTATTCGTCAATCAAGTACTGACATTATCATCCTTGAGGGCGATATGAATACCCAAGTCGGTCGACTGAACTCCTAGGAATCACAGCCCGGCGGCCGATTTGAAGTGGATGCTCGTTGCATCCGCTATTTCTAGCCAGCACAAATTTTCAAAAGAAGCGACCAAATCGCGCAGCCTGGGAGCCAGAAAGTGCAAAACAATCATGGACCTAAGTGGACTACGTGGTTATCAGCCACTGGTGAGGAGTCACAATCCAAGACTGTCACTCCTCTTGAGAGAAAACAGTTGGCTGCAGCCACGCCACAGTGCGCCACAGTCAGTAAGAAGCGCACAAATCCACCATCGTCAGAGAACTACCACAACTCAGTAGTACCGATCTGAGATAGCCCACGAAGCTATAAAGTAAGCCAAACTATACTGGCAACTATACTGGTACGTGGACGAACCATCGCAGCATGTAAAAACAGCTCAGCTAGCGGCTTTTATAGCTATCTGTCCGACTTCTCCGATGCGACCGAATGACCGCTGGATTTCGCCGAGATGGCGCATGCAGACCTCACAAACGGCAGATAGCTAAGAGCGGAGAAGACCGAGGGCTTTGGTGGTCGAAGATGAAGGCATGTGTCACCAGAAATGAACGTGCTTATCTCACCTAACACGACCGAAAAGCAACTGTTAGCAAAAAAACATGGGTGAAGACGGCTTGGTAATTCGTTCACAGATTGGAAAGATAGGCCAAACACTCCGAAGAACAGTTAAGCTGATATTCGGCAAACAAAAGCCTAGACAGTTGCGGGCAAATGGATGGAAATACTTGGTTGGAAATACTCCTTCTGAGACGGAACGAGGTATCCAGACTGAACGGTTTGTATCCAGCGTTCCTTAAAGGCGGAGAATCTGGTTATGTTTATGAACATGTTAGTAGAATGCGCCACGTCGACGCTCATTCATATCTTCAAAAAGGGTAATTGAACACTGTGAAAACCATCGTGAAATTAGAAAGAAAAGAAAGAAAGCGTTAAGCTGTGGCACCCTTCCGGTGCCTAGCTGCCATGCCACCCGAAGGAAGCACGAGGGCTAGGATAATGCCTGGTTGCCCAAGCCTAGACAGGGGAAGTCAAGTGGCGGAGGTCGGATTCGAACCACGAACCTTAAGGGTCAGTAAATTCGCGCTCTAACCACTTGGGCCATCTCGCCCACTGACATCAAAGGTAATCTCTGGTTTCATCATTCGAAGGTCGACCGAACGGAGGCATATCCGTAAAAAAATGTTAAATTTTGTCCTGCAAGACCACATCATCATCAAAAACAGCAACATCAGTG